TTTCTTCGGCGGTGCTAGCCGCAAACCGCGGGTCAAGATTCTCCTTTCCTCTCTTAAATTGAGCTGCCCACTTTTACTCTGTTGATAAATCTGGAGCGTCATCCCTTATTGTCGCTATTATGTCAGAATGAATATCCTTGGAGGTTAAACCCTTTTTCTGCGGGTTTCTTGATAAAACCACGATGCCAAATTTTGTCCATTTTCAAGGGAGTTCGCTACTAGTTATTGTGGACAGTCACATATCAGTTTACCTGGAAATCAACAAAGCAGCTATTAATAAGAAGAGTTGAAATTAATGCAAACCAGATTTCACAGTTCTAGCATCACTCTTTCATAGTGAGCCTACGAACTTTTCTTCCCATCCTCGTGCAAGCAAATTTTTTTTCCACTGATCTTTTTATTCAAATGAAATTTGATCAAAAATTTCCATAACAAAACATATAAGTATATAATAACTGGCTCAGAAAGATTTTGCGGATTTGTATTGTTTAATCTACTTCCGTAATTTATAATATCTGATAATCCGGCCTGGGTAATCTGACCTGAACAAAATGGGCCATAAATTCAGAAAGTTATAAGTTGGATTTTAAAACAGTTTAATAAATACGAGACAGTAAATGATATTTACTAAAAGTGAAATCACTCTCTGCACAAGGTTTATTGCCTTACACTCCGATGATCAAAATTAACAACAGGAAACAACAGTCAACCTAGCCCTCGTCAAACTATAGAAATTAAAACCAAAATGATGAACTGTTGTTGCTTTGTTAGGGCCAGAAATAAAAAAACAAAGAAAGGAATTGAGTTAAATAAATATATTAACAAAAACAGTAATACACACATATACAAACGAGAGTGTTACAGCAAGAATGTTCGGTCCGACTGTCAGAGCTGACTGCTGGAAACGTCCCTCTCCAAAGGGCAGTACCTGCTCCTGTTTATAGCTGGAAGAGTCCATATGTGCGTGGGTAAATTACCATAACAGGAACACATATATAAATGTAAAAATTTCAGTTATGAAGAATACTGAAAATATAAACTCTGTTTGAAAAGAAACAGGACTGATTTCACAAAAAATTATTTCAAGTCCAAGCAACAAACTACATGTTTTTCCATCCAAAGTAATCCCCCTCGAGTCAAATACACTTTTCCATCCTTCTCTGTCACGCTTCTATTCACTGCTAGAAGGATTCATCTTGGATGCTCCGCAGTCTGTCGTTACAGCCCTCTTGGTGATCTCCTCGCTTTCAAAACGGGTCCATTTGTTGAGCCAATTGAGCATGGGGAAAAGAAAAATGTCAAACGAAGCAAGATCAGTTTAATGGAGAAGTTGTTCCAGTACGGCGATGTTCTTTTCGGCCAGGAACTGCCGGATGCTCATGGTATTGTGATCAGGTGCATTGTCATGGTAGCCACGATTTATCCTTCCACAACTCTCGGATGTGAAAAAATGCAATGGTTGCAGAAAACTAAGATTACAGCTCTGCCAGCCCCGTTGCTTTTCAAACGGACCTCGTATACCTGTTAATGTCAGCTGGAAGCAATATACGCTCAAAATATATATTGAAATATTTGCAACTGTGCGTGTTTGTAAGATACAGAATCCGAATAAATGTGTAAAAATCAAAGTGGAAAACGTTTTAATTGAGAACGCGTTTCGACTTCAGGTCAGAAAAAATCTGTGCGTGTTTTTTTTTTTTTTAATTAAAACAGTTAATGACTGCTAGCTCTGTTGGCGTCTTCTGAATGAAAAAACAATAATTATAGTAAAAGAACACACACAGATTTATTCTTTCATAACGATTGGAAGACGCCGACGTACATTAACAAATGTTAACGGTTTTAATATAAAATAAATAAATAAACAGAGATTTCTTTTTCATTCTGACCTGAAAAAAAACAAAAACTACCCAACAAAGACGAAACGCGTTGTCTGATTTCTCCATATTTGTAATTATCTTGTCATTACACGACTGCATACATACATACATATATACATACATATACGAAATGAATATCCAAAGCTTCTCAGCCCGACTAACGAAATATCCCTTTTTAAAAAAATACGATGTTTAGTTATTTGCTAAGCTTTTAGGAGAGTTGTCGGGCCGAGAACTTTTCAACATTCCTTTATATCTATGCATTTGTTCATGACCTACTTTGTTAGAATTGGTGTGACTTGAATGAGTTCATTGCAAAATAGAATTGAATAACGAATACGCATGCGCACGTATATTTATGCATAAAGCAGACGAATATATAATTGAATTAATATTTTAGCGACACCAATATGATAGTAGAATGATCTGTAGAAAATAAACAGAAAGTGATAAGATGATAGAGCGAATAAGAAAGAAAGAAAAAACGAACAAACAAAAAACACATGCAAATTAACAAACATACACATAAGGAAGTCAAGAAGAAGAACCTTGAAGCGCTTAAGAAAGAAAGAAAAAAAGAAAGAAAGAAGTTTGTAGAAGACGAATAAAAAAAGAAAGAAAGACGCAAGGATATTTGTAGAAAGAAAGAATGAAAGAAAGGAAAGATAAAAAGTTGTTTCAGACTGGAAATAAATAGAAGCTCCAGAAGATATAAAGGAGTGTTTTTCACTTTTCTTCGTCATTTCTTTTAAAGGATTTCTTTTGGCACGTAGCAGACGACAATGAAATAGGCAGAATGAAGATTAAACTGACCACCATTTTATTTTTTCTCTATTTTATGATGAAGATTTAAGGACATTCGAGAAATAATGCAGAAAATCTGTGGCAGAAAATCCAGGAAAAAATAAAAGATAAATAAAACAAAAAGGATGCCAAATAATAATAATAATAAAACAGAAAATAAAAATCATATAGACAGAAATTATAACTAATAAAAGGATATGAAATCAGTATAAAAGATAAAGTATGAATGAAGGTGGGATAATGAAAATAAATAAACAAATGAAACAGAAAAGAAACTAAAATGATTGAAAAAAAGTGACCGTTCCAGAAACGAAAGAAATAAGAAATAGAAACGCAAAAGCTGGTTGAATAAAGCATGATATGTAGACACAAAGAAATGGTTGCTATTTGCAATAATGTGACTGAATAGATGGCAAGAAATAAGTGAAGTGAATGCCATAAAGCAGAAGAAGGCGCTTTGCTAAAACATGCCGGGTGGAGCCTGCAGCTTGTTCGGCCATTGCATAATAGAACGCGGTTTCCGCTGTCACGTGTTGTCTGTTTTTTTGTTTTTTTTTGTTTTTTTTAGGCAGCTTCGTAAAAGATCGATGGCAGACGATTGGAGATTTATGCGCGGTTTGGGGGGAGAGAGACCAAGCAGGGAAATGGGAACAGAAAAGAGTGAGATAAAAGATGAAAAGAGTGGAGAAAGAGAGAGAGGGAGAAAAAAAAAAAAAAAATGAAAGAAAGGGAAGATAAATTAATTCGGAAGAGAATAGAAACTGTATCAAATATGCAATAGTCTAAGATGGTTGTAAAAGGAGAGGAGGTGCAAACAAAAGTGAAGGAAGAAACAAGAAGAAATGAAAGAAAGAAAGAAAGAAAGAAAGAAAGAAAGAAAGAAAGAAGATAGAAAGTAAAGCTGGGAAAAGGAAGGGAGAAACAGAAAGAAAGGAGAAAAGCAGAGGAAGTGGGGAAGAAAAGAATATAAGTGAAGGGAGAAGAAAAGGAGGAATGAAAGATAGATGAAGTTACCAAAAAAGACTGTGAAAAGCAAACGTAACAATAAGAACGGAAAGGAAGAAAGCAAAGAAGGAATAAGGACAAGAGAGAAAGAAGAAAAAAAGAGGTAGCAGAGAAGAAAAGGAAAAATACAATTTCTAAAAAATATAAGCAAAATTGGAAAATGAAAGAATAATGGGAAAACGTAGAGGAAGATAGAAAGTACACATAAGAAATGAAAGTGACAATATGAAGAATATAATATAGAAGGAAATGAACGAAAATTGGAAAAAGGAGAAAAAAAAAGAAAATTAATTTCAATGAAATCGGGGTTGGGTAGTTGATGAATTAACTCAAACAAAAAATGGAGAAAACATGGAAATGAAACGGTAAAAAAAAGGACAAATAAATATTGAAGAAGAAGAAAAAGAAGAAGAAGAAAAAGAAGAAGAAGAAGAAGAAGATAATGAAATGAAAGAAGATAGGTTAAAATTATAATAAAAAATATTACAAAGAATGGGTAGGGCAAAAACGGGATAGCAAAACAAAAAAAGAAAGAAAGAACGAACGAACGAATATTAAAAGGAAAGAAAGTGACTGAATAAAAGATTTAACAACTGAACGAAATAAATAAAGAAAGAAAAGAAATAAAGAACGAAAGCAATGACGAAAACCTTGGAAAGAAAGAAAAACACGCAAAGAAAGAAAGATTAAAAGAAAAAAAAAGAAAGTGGTTAATTAAAAACATTGGAATGCTTCTGAAAGAAAGGAAGAACGAAAGAAACAATGAAGCAAACAAGTAAACAAAAAAGAAAGATATGAACAAAGTAATTACAAAACCTTGAAATGCTTAAGCAAGAAAGAAAGATAGATAGAAAGAAAGAAAGAAAACAGCAAATAAAAAGAAAGAAAGAAAGATAGAAAGAAAGAAAACAGCAAATAAAAAGAAAGAAAGAAAGAAAGAAAACAGTAAATAAAAAGAAAGAAAGAAAGAAAACAGCAAATAAAAAGAAAGAAAGAAAGAAAAGACGTTTCAAACAGAAAATAAATCGAAGGTGCCAAAGATATCCTAAATAAAGGAAGCTTAAAAAGTAAACAGGCAGATGTAATAAAAATGAAAAATTATAATTAAGAGTTTGAATGAAAATATTCCAGATGTAATGTGGCATCTTTATAATGTCTGACTCTGTCTTGTAAAGGGAATAAAGAACGAAATGATTCCACTTTTATTCATAATAACTTTCGAACAGAAAAGTATTGAACGTGACAGATGACGATAAAATAATAGGGTACGCAGACGATAAGCATGAAACTAATCGCCATTTTGTTATTGTCTTTATTTTATCGAGGATGACCAATGATCGATGGCCTTAGTTTCCTGTTCGCTCTCCTGCTCGTGGCTTCATATGGATGCGAAGTGTGTGATGCGCAACTTTAATTTTCAGGAAGCTATTCCTCATTCGCTTGGGAACAAACAAGCAAATCCTTATAATAATTGTTTCGAAAATAGGTCATATAAAGTAAATCTATGTTTGGCACATGGCATTGCAAGAACTATGGTAACATTAGACAATTCTTTGCAAATAATACCAAAATAATCCATAAAGTCAATAGTAAAAAAAAAATTGACTAAAGATTACTGAAGTCATTTATATCCAACAAAAACAAATATACGTCAATAAAAAATGCTTATAATCAACAAAACCGCATTTTCCATGTATATAAAAAAAAACGCGTTATAGCGCAAGTCTGATGCGAATAATATGTCTGAAACAGGTAAAAGCCTGTGACGGGTAAATTGTCACAAATATCCAATTCGATATTTGTGACTTTCACTCGTTCATCACCGATAATCTGCTAATGTCTGCTATCAATTTAGTAAAAGAATATTGTTCTATTAACGATCGCGAAATCAAAATCATAAAGCAAGCACAAAAACCTATATTATTCCATAATGGCTATCTGTGAACCAAAAGAAATAACACAGAATTTAGCATTGCTATGAGAACATACGATTCTGCGGAAGCATGTGAAAGTTTTGGAATAATGTTACTGTGGCAACTAAGATTTATTTTCGACATTAAGGACATCGGACTCTATTGAGATGATGGTGTAATCCTCCTTCGTAAAACAAGTCCAAGAAATACAGGCCGATTTAGAAAGGAACTGATAAAATTTTTTCAAAGATTACATGCTAAATATCAGCACTACCACCAATGCTAAAGTGATCAACTTTCTCGATGTGACGTTGGACTTGAATACTTGTTATTACAATGCATATAGCAAAGATCTATATAACTATAGATGTGTCAATAAAGATTCATTCTTGATAATTTACATAAGCCAGTCCATGTTAGATTATCTACTAACTCCAGCAATAAGGAGATATTCGATAATAATAAAATTAAATGTGTAAATGCTTTAGAACTAAGTAACCATAAAGTAAATTTAGAGTATGTGGAAAAGAACAAAAAAGGTAAAAAAAAAACAAAAACATTGTAAGCATAACATTATATGGTTTAATCCATTTTTTAATCATAATGTTCAAACGAATATAGGAAGAATTTAAAAAAAAAATTAATTCATAAGCACTTTAATCATTCACCAACACCATTTTTAACAAAAATAATGTTAAGATCAACCATAGCTGCATTAGCAACATCGATAAATCTATATCCCAACATAATAACATTATATTAAATAAATATATTTCCAACAAAGAAAACATTAATTTTTTTTTTAAATGAATACAACTGCCAAAAAAATATGATCTGTCTCTTAAACGGTCAATGTATGATTAATAATATTGTATTCCGAGCAAGTATATATTCCGGTAGCGATGTAAAATTTCAGGAAGCAGGAAGTTCGTTCCACTGAAAATCCTTGGAAATTTCTACCATGATCGAATGACTTTACGCAATATTAAATACATAAACAGCACTACTCTCTCAAAATATTTCCGGCAATTAAAGAATAATGGAATAGAATTAAAAGAATAATGGTCTTTATTACGTGGAATATGGCAAGAGCCAAATATATGACAGCAATAACATTGCGGTAAACAGATATTTTTATTAAAATTTAAATTACGTAACGGTCAGTCTATACTCTGCACCTGAAGATTGCGTTGCGAATCGCGTTATCGGTGAGGGATAATATGTTTCTTTATTAATATATATATACTTACACAGATACAATCAATACATACACACGTATAAGTGCAGAGAACCCAACACTGACAGGCTGCTGGAATCAAATTTTTTTCCTATTTGCATATTCTGTTGCAGAGAATAATGAAACCCAATTGATTCATCGTATTATTTCCGGTTTGCCTCAAATAAGCTTCACGCTTTTGTCGCTTGATTATTTTAGTGCTCAAAGTTGTAACAGTTCATTATCCAACGAATAAATAAAATGACTTCAACCTCTTTCAACAATTAATAGTAACAGTTATCTCTTCTTTCCAAATCGACCCCCAACATGCAGCGTCTGGTGTACAGAAACTGCTTCACTCAGGAAAAGCAATTACCTAAATTGAGACTGCCATTTAGTCATAAACAGCTTTGATGACTGCGTAATTAAAATGGCGCCCTGTTAGTTCCAGCGCAAATACAATTGGATGTTTTTTATTTGTTTGCTTTTTGTTTTTGATAAAGGATTATGTGCGGTGGCTACTGAATATTTGTTTTTAAAATTTCATACCATTTGCTTTTATAACCTTGCCACTTTACTTGCTTTTTCTTGTTTCTTTTGTATATCCTGATTTTTGCCACGTTCGTTTTCGGATAACCTATCCGCGGGAAACAAATGCGTTGCAACGGATATAATATCCCGGCTCGGTAAAAAAAAAAAAAAAAAAAAAAAAAAGGCTGCCATCTAGCGGTAGCGTTTATGCCCAGCAATAACTGACCAAGGATATTAAAATGTTTGTCTTAAATCAATGGAAAATAATACTACATTGGGCTTTAAACGATTCCAGATATCGATAGGCGCCAGGTGATTGACAAATGTTTGTGTGAGGGAGGAAGATAATTAATAAATGATAAAACACTTTGGATGTTTTTTGTTTTTTTTATCTCAGTTTAAATTAACAGTTTAACACATTACACACTTTAACTGTTCTATCGTTATTTCCATAGAAAATTTTCAGACGTACCAGATTCTTTATTTTTGCCAATTCTAACCTTCACAGCTAATACCCGCCAGGCCACGTATATTGTAGCGAATCTTCATATTCCATTAGTGAGATGTAAGTTCTACTCGAGCAGAACCGTTTCTTTGTGGAAGCAACTCCCAAGACAATGCTTCCACGACCACTATAATCTTAACCTGGTGTAAACCGTTATCTTTACCACATCATATCTATTATAAAACCCAGGTTGTGTGTGTGTGTGTGTGTGTGTGTGTGTGTGTGTGTGTGTGTGTGTGTGTGTGTGTTTCGTTTATATACTGGATCGGATTTCCGACATTTTCCAACCGATTTCAACAAAAGTTCACAGGACTACGTAAAATTACATTGCGGTGGTTCTGACACCGCCAAAAATTGAAAAAACACAATTGTTTTTGCACAAAATCAATTTGAAAACACGATTAAGAGGCATTGCTTTCGAGAATGAAAGGGGGACAACTCATATCGAATTATACTTATTATAAAACCCAGGTTGTTTGTGAGTGTGTGTGTGTTCGTTTATATATGTGATCGGATTTCCTACATTTTTCAACCGATTTCAACAAAACTTCACTTTTCTTTTTGGCAGGTAGTGTTTCTTATTGTCTTGCACACTTTTTTTCTTTATTTTTACATTCAGAATTCTTTAAAAATTCCATTTACAAGACAATAATAATTGTTTATAATAAAATTCTATTCAATCGGTAGACTCATAACGATTGAAAACAATGTTTTTGTTTGAGTTTGACCAATTTGTAAAAAAGACAAACAAAACTAATTAAGACATGCGTGTCCGTCAACCTTAAACAATAATCTTTGTCAATTTTATTTTTCAGTCTTTATGATGGTCGATACTTGATCTATCGCTTATGTGTTACATCCCCGGGCAACGCCGGGCTCTACAGCTAGCATCATATAAATTGTGCCTCTGACTCTGTAACCTTCTACCTCGAGTGGCTCTTGGGTCTTGTATAGGGTGAACATCATTGGAAAAAAAAAAACAACAACATAGAAATGCTACATATAATGAACGGGAAATTGCAAGAACACGCGCGTGCATATGTACATGCGTTCGCCCTTTTAATCTTCGATGTAATATTTCCAATGAAAACCGGTGATTGGGTTTCGAACCGAGTCGAAAAGCCAATAGTTGAATAATTCTCTTCTTGTAATATTAGCGCAACACAAACTTCTAACCGATAATTATATAATATAATAAAAAAAACTAAATGTGTATACATTTATTTATTTTTTCAAATATTTATTTCACACCCAAACTTAGTTTCTCTCTCTGTATATAGAGACAATAATATATTCTTTTATTGATAAGTGATAGATTTATAGATAGATTTATGTGATAGATTATGATTCATGAATCCGAGAGAGTCTTTTAGTTGAGTAGACGCCCCTTTTATTTATTAAACGGTATATTTGTTTATTTTCATATACCGGAGAATATTCGGAGAGAGCATATATTTCTTTAAGAAGATTGCTCGAATATTCAGGCCGCTAAATGAAAAGTAAATAATTGTACTGTTTAATAAATATCTTAAATATGAGTATACAATAAATAACATTTAAAGTAATATATATATATATATATATATATATATATATATATATGGAAAAAATTCTAAAGAATTGAAGATTTTATTTTTTAAGCCGACAGTTTTATTAATTGAAGCGTTATTTTTAGTAGGTAACCGTGTTTCAAATAGACACTCCGTTTTTGTTTAATACTGGGTACTACGTCTACCAGACTGCACATTCAAGAAAACTCTCCTCTTTATCATGATTTGAAACCCGCCCCCCCGCCTTCATGGAAAAAAATATACTGTAATCATGCAGAAAATTTTATCGAATGGACGCCGGATCAAAGGTTGATTTCTATGACATTCGAAACCTCGCCGGATTAAACGTTACTTTCTATAGCGAGCAGTTCGGATCAGACAATTGCTTCTATGACGGGCAGTGTAAAGCATGCCGGATCACACGATGGTTTCTATGACGAGCTCTCTAAAGTATGCCGAACAAGACGATAGTTTCTATGACGTGCAGTTCTAAAGCACACCGTATGAAACGTTGCTTTGTATGACGGGAAGCCTGAAGCACGCCAGATTAAACCTTGGTTTCTATGACAAACAGTCCAAAGCACGCCAGATCAAGCGTTGATTTCTATGACGGATTAAAAATTGGTTTCTAATACAAAGTGGGACGCAGATTCGAACACTGCATGTTTTAAGTTTTCTCGAGAGCACCGCCAGTTAGACGTAACGTACACACACACACACACTTGTATATATATATATATATATTATATATAATTTATTATAAAATTATAATATAGATATGTTATAAAATCACTACAAAAATAGCCATTTTGTTTCAACACATCTGGTGTCTTATCAAGTGATGATTTTCCCTACTCTGTATTGAGCATTCTTTTTAAGAATAGTATTTTTTTGGTTATTGGAATTCATCCCATATACACAATCCTATACTTATATATATATATATATATATATATATATATATATATATATATATATATATATATATATATGATACAGTTTTACGTTTTTGGGAGTGTAGTAATTCTGTTAGGAAAGATGAGTTAGGGAAAAAGCCAGGCCGTAGAATAATATTTGGATATTAAAATATAAATCAGAATTTTGATTTTACAAATGCTACACTCATGAAAAAAGAATATAACTCACTCGAAAGGAAAATCCTCGAGGGTGCCACCATTTAATATTATCGAAATATTAATCTACGCCCAGGCTTTTTCCCTATCTCACCTTTCCTAGCACAATTACTACTCTCCCAAACTAACGTACAAAACTGTATCAAAAAATCAAAAGAAAATGGTTGAATTCGTCAAGACAATAAAACAATATATGTGTGTGTGCATATATATAAACAGATCCAAGAACACATAGGGGTCAGTAAAACATTAAAAGATAAAATGCCGATAAGCAATTCATCATTTCGCTTGGACCAACCTTAATTGTTTTATGACCCTTCGCGCAGAACTCTTCATTGCCAATTCAAGAAAGAAATTCGGATTACTAACACAGAAAATGTCTCATATCGAGAATATTTAACATTGAAAGACAAAAAAAAAATTAATTATTTTTAATAATATGTGGAAATCTCCGCTTTTACCTGAAGACGGTCACGAAACCAGAAACACGTGTAGTACAATTATGTAAAAGAAAGCATAATATTTTTTTTCTAAATAAATCCACATTACAACCAAAAAGGTTTGCGGCACCTCTCTTCTCTTCTTTTTAATATACATATTTTTCTCTCGTTGGAAACACTACAACCTCTTTCTTTTATATTTTTTATATATATATATATATATATATATATATATATATATATTCAAAATAGTTGAGTATGTTAGAAACAGTAGACACAAACAAATCCATACATAAACAATCGCGCTTCTAATCTACAGGATATTTTAATTTATTTTTTTTAAATAAATTCACTCCAAGCAAGGTGATAATGCCGCTCAGGTGCAATGTGTGTGAGAGACTTTAGAATGAACAGGAAACCCGATTCTAAACAGAAAACAAGTGATAAAACTCTACTCATTTTCAAAAGACCGAGAAGAAATGTGAACCGGACGATAGGCAAACCTATGTACACCTATTTAGTTGTCTCTTTCTCTCTCTATCACAAACACACACATATACACACACTCCTATTCTCTCTTTACGCAATTCCTGAATAGCCTGTCTCTTTGTAAACACGCATAAATTCTCGCTTTGCTTTTCGCTAATCTTTCATTACATTCTTGACATATTTTGTGTGTATTTTAATCATTTCACCCCAAACAAGGCGATAATGCCTCTAGAACGCGGGGGTCGGGATACAGGGAGTGAAAGGGATTGAGAAGACTGGGACCCTAACAGGTGCCACCACGAAGAGAAGTGAGGAAAAGGACAATAAAAGAAATGGGTTCCAGAAGACAGAAGATGGCGATTGACGTTCGATTTAAATTCTTGAAGATTGTAGTTGGCAGGGAAGTAAGAAATCGGAAGGGAGTTTCACGGATGGGAAGTGAAGGAAAAGAATACTAGAATAGAACTGACACTTGCGTCTAATTCAGCTGTAAAACGGCATTTCAATCATACCCTTTCTCTCACTCTCTTAAGTCTCCTCCTTAACGTTCCTATTACATCTTTCTCGCTTTCCCCTAAACGTATGGCTATTTTATAAGCGTATCTTAGATGTGGCAAAAGGTTGAAAGTACTGGGTACCAAGTGAGGATCGAACTCGTCATTCAGGTGTAACTGACCTAGCGAGAAAAGCTCGCTTATCATAGCACCACGTTTAAGTGCCCTAAATTATTTCTAAGTCTAGCTTAGATGTGACATAAGACCACATGAACTACACAGTGAGGATCAAACTCACTATTCAGTTGCAATTGATCTAACGAGACAAGTTTGATAACCAATACACCACGTCGAAGTGTCCTCTTCCCCAGTCTGATGTGCTTAAACATGCTCTCACTTTTAAATTTCCCGCGTTTTCTCTTTCCCATTAATCCAGACATTTTCTCACAATTCCCCCCTCCTCTTGTCGCACCGTCTCTTTCTCCCCTTCTTTTCTCATTCTCTGTTTCCTCGTTACCTTTTCTCACGCATCTCTCCCCA